GGCAGCCTGGGCCCCCCAGACTTGCCCACTCGCTGACTGCGGGGCGCTGGGACAGCCTCCGGGCCTCTGATTTCTCACCTATAAAATGAGAGCTGTGACATGGCCCCGAGCCCAGTGACACAATGAGGCTCATCGTCCACTGGCTGCAGCCCCTGAGGTCCAGAGGGTCTCCCTGCAGCTCTGAGGGAGCCTTTGTGAGACTGGGGGGGGGGCTGTGTGGAGAGGCCACCCATGGAGACCCGCCACCTCCTGAGATGGCTGTCCCCACAGGCCCTTCCCCGGGGCCGGCCAGCGTCGCCTGCGAGTTAATCTGGACTTTTAAGCACAATTAAAGAGGTAATCAGGGTCAGGAGCGCCTTTCCAACACAGTTTAGCACAAAATCCTAATGCAGGAATTACGCGGGCGGAGGTGGTCAATATAATGGATTCCCACCCACCGCACGCGGCCAGGGTGCGGGCGCTGCAGGCTAATTCAGGGAGCCGGGAGGCGGGCGGGAGGCAGCGCTGGTCCCCGGCTTCCGCTCACATCCATTACCAGGGAGCTTGTAGCCCGTTCCAGAGAATTCATTAGGGAAAGAAAACAGTAAAATTTGCAGTTATTTGTAAACCCGACGGGGAAAACATGCATCATTTCTCGGAAGGAAGTGTGTCGATTTCAGACGGAGCTGATGGGAGGGGGACGGCGGGCTGGGGTGCTGGGAGGCTGCAGGCAGGTGCCGGACTCCTCTCAAGTAGGAGGGCCATGGAGTTGGACCCCAGCCTCTGTACAACAGTGAGCTTGGGTCGGAGTCCCGTTCCCGTGGAGCTCATAGGCCCAGATGGGTCAGAAGCCCAGAGAGGGCAAGGCTTTGCCCACGGTCACACAGCAGAGGGTGAAGCCAGTTGGAAGTCTGGCTCTTCCCAAGGCTCACAGGAAAGGGGCTGGTCATCATATTCATCTTGTGGAGCACCTCTCTGGGGGTCATGGCCTCCAGATTTGCTCTCCAGGGTGGCCCCATGGACACAGAGGATGCACAGGGAGAGGCTCCATTTAGGGGTTGTTGGCCTGGTGTGTGGGCATCTCGCATCACCTGTGAGGAGGGGTGCCCTCCGCTGAATTCCCAGTGCTGTCTAGACACAGAGGTGGCGATGCTGTCCAGGGCCCCACAGCAGGCGCTTGGGACACAGAGATGAAGCAGAGCAGGCAGGAGAGGGGACGCTGCCTCTCTGATGAGAGTGAGTCTGGGGTCTCAGTGGACCTGTGCTCAGGCCTAGGCAGTGGCGGCCTCCTTCCCTCCCTGCGTGAGCTCTGCATGCCACACAGGAGTGGCCAGTGCCCTGGGACCAGAAAAGGACCTTAGATGAAGGACAGGTGTGAGAGGGACAGTGAGCATGCATTGCTGTGGGGGCCTGAGGGGTTCACCAGGAGGGACAAGAGTCAGCCTGTGGCCCTAGCAGAGAACCCAGAGGGAGGGGACTGAGGCGCTGCTGGAGGTCCCCATGAGCAGCTCTCCAAAAGGCCTGGGGAGGCGTCCTCTTCAAAGAAGGGCATCCAGGCGGTGGGGGGACACTGCCCCCAGCCAGCTTGAGATGGGACAGTCCCCGCAGGAACAGGAGGGGTCTCAGGGTGGGACAGCGTTGGATGAGAAAACTGACTTGTGGGGGTCTCTCCCGTGACACCCACCCAAGGACTCCCACAGGCAGGAGGGACCTCAGCAGAGAATCCGTCCCTGCTGGGTGGCAGGCCTGGGCCCCAGGGGTGCAGGAGGCCGTCAGCGGCCAGCTCTCAAGGAGAATGGCGGCCGTGGCTCTTAGACTGTCAGGCGGTGCCTCCCGGGGACCCCTGGGGGTCCTCCCCCGAAGCCCTACCCTTCCCTGTGGTGGGAACCGCGGGCCCTGGAGCTGCCTTTCCGGCCCCGAGTGCAGAGGTCAGTGGGGGGGGTGGGCAGCTGGGAGGCTGCCCAGTGGCCTGTCCCCAGCTGAGCCCGAGGCTGGCCAGGGAGGAGCCCCTTCTCTTCCGGCCAGGACAGAATGGAGCTGATCAAAGCTCGGGGTTTATGAGCCGAGTGGGACGGAGCAGGGACAGGCCGGGCTGCGCTGCAGGGGCTGGTCCCAAGGCTCCCGCTGGGGGGGCCGGAAGGGGGTTCAGAGCCCGCACCAGGCGTGGGGTGGGGGCACCCGGGGTGCTGGCCGCGGGCTGGGGGTCTCCACCCCTCAGCGGCCCTCAGAGCCACCTGACAGACGGGGGAACGGAGGCTGGGGCCAGGAAACGTCCCCAAGGGCACAGCCAGTGGGGGACAAGCCAGGATGGACTTGGGCCTGGACAGCCCCAGAGCCTTCCCTGCCCCCAGGTGGCCCCCGTGTGTGGATCCTGCCGGGAGGGAGGAGCCTTGTTGGAGACAGATGGGGACACCCCGGGCCTGGCCCTGGAATCAGAAGGACCTGGGAACCAGGCTTCAGTGGGTGGGGGCCCTCGGCTCTGGGCTGGGGTGTCGGCATTGGGTCTGGGGGAGCCTCACTAGGTCTCTACGTGATGGCTCATGATGCCCCCGTCCTGGGTGTCTCTGTCTTTGACATTGTCTCTGTCCCTGTCACCCTGACTCTGTCCCACTCAGCCCAAGCGCCACCTTCTCTGCACAGCATCCCCTCTGGGGTCCTGAACCCCAACCTTCCCAGGTAGAGGGACCCTCCAGTTCGCACCACGGCCCCCGCCGAGAGGGCACAGTCACTCGGGTCCTCTCACCCACAGAGACCCCGGGACCACGAGCTCCTGCACCCGCTCCCTGGGCCGTCCAGGTCCCCGGCCCTTCCCCAGGGACCGCCTGAGGCTGCCGGAGCCAAAGGGCGAGATGGACACAGACCCACAGTCCCCAGCAGGGACCCAGCAAACTGCGCCTCTGACCAGGGCAAATCCCCAGGGAGCCCCGTCCCTCACTGGGGTCAACCCCAGACCCGCCTCCCAGCCCTGGTCCTCCACGGGCCTCTGCAGAGCCGCTCCCCCTCAGCCAGTGCCCCCCCCAGGTGACGGTCCCCACCACATGGTCACCTTCCCCCGAGGGGAGAGTCCCTGGGCCCCCGCTCCAAAACAAGACTCATTCTCTGGTCCCCCCACAGGCTCAGCCTCCCCAGGACGTGGCTCTGACCCCAGGCCCTGGCCCCTCTGTCCCTGCTAAGTCCTGCTGTGGCTCCGGGGCCGCAGCCTCCCCTCCCCGGGGACTCTGCCCTCAGGACTCCCCAGGCCCTTCCGCTGGGGAGAACAAGCCCCTTCCCCCTCCTCCCCTTCCCTGCCAGGCCACCCGCCCAGTGCCACCTAAAGAGGGCGACTTTTAATTAAACCAGCTGGTAATTACCTAACAGCATCCCTGCTTAATAAAACTCGGGGGAGCTTTCATTTTTTTTAACTTATTTAAAAACTTCATTGCTGCCAGCCAGTGTCGGGGAGAGAGGGCCTCACCACTTGGCCCTTGTGCCTGGCTCTGGCCTCCTGAGGAGGCAGGCAGGTGCTGGCAGCAAAGGGCACTGCCAGCCCCCATCTTAGGTCCCCGGCTGGCCTGACTGTGGCCACTCCACATTGTGCCCACCTAGGGGCACCATCTGCCCCTAGACAGCCAGCGGGGCCCAAGACCCCCTTCTCCAGCTGCCTCCCAGAACAGGCTTATCTGGTGGTTTTTCAGGGAGATGCGGCACATGCAAAGGCCCAGGGGTCTCTGGAAGCCGCAGGCTGGGCGTGTGGTGAGGGGGCGTGGCCGTGGGCAGCAGCAGAGGGCCTCAAGGGTATAGTCGGGGCTGGACCCCCCCCCCCGAGAACCTGACCCACCCTAGCTCACCATCCTCCTGTGTGTCCTTCCCACAAAAGTTTATGAGGCCCACTGTGTGCCGGCCTGATGTATGTACTGACACGGTCACTTGCTGCGCACAAGAGCCATGTGTGAACATAAAATTTGTCATGGAATTGAAAAAGCAGGCAGGTTCCCATAAAACCCACCTTCCCGGCTTCTTGTAAAACATTGGCAGATCCCCAGAGGGCATCGTTGAGCTGGTGCTGCGAGAGCCACCCCATGTTGGGGGCCTGGACCATGCAGGCAGGGCCGCCCGGGGCGGTGGGCCAGGTTGCACACTCGGCTCTCTCCTCCAGCAGCACCTGGCCCTGTTCCCAGGGATTCCTAGAGCCTCAGCCCTCCAGATCAGTAGGAGCCATGGGCCAAGAGCAGCCGTGGACAGTGCTCAGAGGACCTTGCAGGCCGGGGAGGGGCACCCTGCAGCCCTCGGGCCCCTGCCCACTCTGGCTGAGATCACAAAGCCCTGGGCCAGCGCAGCTCCAGCCTCACCCAGAGGCCATGGTGGAGCCTGGGAGGGGACACGTCAGTCCTGCCCCTGGGGTCCAAGGCCTCGGGACAGAGAAGGGCCAGTCTCAGCAGAAGGGGGTCTGCTCCATCCAGGGGCCCCTGGGAGCTAGGACGGCCCGGCCATCACTCCGCCGCCTCCCTGGACGCTGCGGGAGCCCCTGCGCTGACGGATTGACACAGCGGGTTAATAAGTGCGCGCCTCCCTCCTCGAGGCTGATGAAATATTAATCGTCCTGGTGAGGTCAGCAGAAACCGCCCGGTGGTGGCGGGGTGAGTGCCTTTAATTAATTCTCCTGTGGAGGGTCTGGCCGAGGGTCCCCACCCGGCCACCGCTGCCCCCGGCCCCAGCTGCCCTCCTTGCCCAGCAGGGCTCTGCTCAGCCTGCTCTGCCGTGGGCACCTCCTATGTCCTCAGCCGCATGACTCAGCCTGCTCCCCCGGAAGCCCTCGCCCACCCTGACCGGCACCCTCCATCTTGGGTCCAGGACCTTCCTGGGCCCTATCAACCCCTGCCGTGGGCTCTCTCACGTCCATCAGGTCCAGAGAGGACAGATGGTGGCCGGAGTGGAGGGATGCTCGACCGTGGACCTCACAGGGGTCTCAGCAGCTGCTGGTGATGTGCCCTGGGCAGAGCCGGATGAGGTCAGAGGGTGACAGTGTCTGCGTCACTGAGAAGTCCCTGCCTGCCACCAACAGCGCTGGGCTGGCCTGGGGCTGCGGACATGGGGGCTGCTTAGGAGCAACCCCCCAGGACCTCCCAGGCCAGCTGGGCGCTCAGGGTGCAGACCTCGGCGGCCACCATCGGGGGCGGGGCTTAGTGCCCCTCCTGTCCTCCAGACCCTGGGCTCACTGAGGAGCGTCCAGCCAGCGGTCACCAGCACATCTGCCTGGGGCCTGGCCTGGGGTCCTGAACCTGAGACCCCGGGTGCCAAAGACAACAGGGAGGGCAGCACACAGGGAGAGACCCCGAGATGTGCCCTGGGCTGGGGGACGGTGATGGGGAAGCCACCTCTCCCCGACTGTCACTCTAGTCTGACTTTGGGCCCTGCGACTCCCCCCACCCAAGGGCTCTGTCCCGATCCGTCTCAGGCAGACCTCGTGGGACATGGGTGGGGGGCCTCGCATCCGGGTCTCCGCTCGAGGTCCATGTTAATTTTTTATTTATCTGAAAGTGGGACTGGAAGCGGCTTCGAGTGAGTCTGAAGTAATTAGGAGTTCCTGCTGATGGATCGCACTGGAGGGACGCGGGGATTATTTATTACCGAGTCACTTGCCGGAAAGGTTAGAGGCTGAGAAGTAATTATTTTCCCTTCCTCTCTTCCCCCCCCCCCATCCTCTCGGTTTAAAGGGAATATTTTGCAGGGGGAGCTGGCGGGAATTCTAGGAGCCCCCCCCCCGGGGAGGAGGGTCCACCGTGGGGCCTGTGCCGGGAAGATTCGGGGTCCTGGGGAGCCTCCCAAGGGCCCAACTCACTCTCCTTTCTCTTTTCTTGCCCTTCTCTTTGTTCCTCTCCTATTGTGTGACTCCCCAGGAGGGAAGGCAGCACCTCGATGCGTGACCAGCCTCACCAGATGCCCAAGGGAGGAACAACCAGGAGGCCGGTGAGCAGGTGCAAAGGCCCTGGGGTAGGATTGGGCCAGAAGCCTGCAGGACATGGGCAGAACAGGCAGCATGGGTCAAAAGGGGGATGGAGAAGGTGACCCTGATAGGGTGTGGCCCTGATAGTGTGTGACCCTGATAGGGTGTGGCCCTGGCAAGCTGTGCTTAGGGCTTTATTTTAGCTTGTCGAAAAGCCTTGGAGTGTTTGAAGCAGGAAACAGATGACCTGTCCACTCTCGTGATGAGATTGGCCTCTTGAGAGGGAAACCTCTCCATGTCTGTGCTGTCCTGACCCAGCCTGGCTCAGTCTCACCTCAACAGTATTTCTCACCTCCAGGGAGCTGCCCAGTACAGCCATGGTCCAGTCGAAAGCTGCTAGCCCCAAGGGACAGAAAGGCCAGCCTGACAGGCTTCAATAGAAGATGGACTGAATTGCCTCCTATAGCTGAACTGTCTGGGGTAGGTCTCTGGCTTCAGGTATGGCTTGATCCAGGCCTCAACTGTTATCACAGGATCCATGTCTGGGATCTGGTTTTTCTAAGATGGTAGTTCCAGCCTCAGAACCAAAGCCACACGAGGATTTCCACTTCCACCTGGGGTGAAATAACAGGGACCACATTTATGCTCCCATCTGAAACATCAACAACAACAAATAGACAAAATATAAGGGGAAAAAAAGAGATTTCCAAGACATCGGACAACCAGCCGTGAAGGCCAGCGGTTCCTGAGATGGGGGGAGAAATGAAGCTCCTGTGATTGCCAGAGTTTCCAGAAAGCCCCCGAGCTTCTGGGGAGGCCAAGGTGGCTTGAGTTCTTGGCAGGGTACCCAAGAGGGAGAGCGGCACACGGCGAGGACCCCAGAGTTCTGCAGAGGAGCCCCCTGAGCGTTCAGCGGAGCACTGATGAGTGTGTGAACCTGGGGAAACCATCCAGGACTGGAGACCAGCCCTCCAAAAGGATCAGAGAACAATGCTCCACGCTGACATGGGCCTGAGAGGGCGCTGTCCCCCGCTAGACTTATGCTGAGCAAACAGCAGGCCCAGGACCATCCTGGAGAAAAGCCTTGAGCAAGGGCTGGCCTTAGGCAGGAGGAGTAACTCCCCCGACAGAGACCCGCCCCAGAGACGCTAAGCCATTAATAACAGCAGGACTAGAAAGGACCCACGATTTCTACGCTGCATCCCAGGACACAGCTCCCACATCTTACAGGGATGCAAAGATCCCCCACAATCAGTGAGGTACAGTTCACGATGTCTGACACCCAGTCGAAGGCTGCTAGGTATTAAAGACACAGAAAAGACAGGACCCACATTGAGGAGGACACTCTGTCAGTCGAAACTGGCCCAGAACAGACACAGATGTTAGAAGGAACAGACAAGGACATTAAATGGATTCTTGTAACTGCATTCTACATGTTCAAAGAGTTAAGTAGAGACGTGGAAGGTATTAAAAAAAAAGACTCCAAATGGAACTTCTAGGCATGGAAATGACAACATCTTAGATGAGGGATATGTGTAAATATTTATGTCAAAAGAAGCAGAACAGAAAACAGAATAATAATTTATTTTTGGTACCAGGGATTGAACTCAGGGACACTTGACCACTGAGCCACCTCCCCAGCCCTATTTTATATTTTATTTAGAGACAGGGTCTCACTGAGTTGCTTAGCGCCTTGCTTTGGCTGAGGCTGGCTTTGAACTTGTGATCCTCCTGCCTCAGCCTCCAGAGCCCCTGGGATTACAGGCATGTGCCACTGTGCCCGGCCAGAACAATCATTTTTCTTAAAGTGAAAAAAGTAACTGTGGGCTCTGAGGCAGCTTCCAGCAGCCTAACACACAGATGAGAAAGGAAGACTTTGATGAATCAGTGGCTGCAATTTTACAAAATTTGATGAAAACAATCAACTCTCAAACAAAAGCTCTACGCACCCCAAGTTTAAGAAATGTAAAGAAAAGTCTAAGGAGGCATATCATAAGCAAGTCACTCAAGACCTGTGGAAAGAGAAATCTTCAAGGCGGAGAGAAAACGCATTCACAGAGGGCTGAAGGGATAAGATCGACAGCAGACTGTTCAGTGGAAACGATGGAGCAAGAAGACAGTGAGGAAATACAGAAAAGGCCCCGCCAGTCCCGGATTCTATACCCAGCAAAACTATCTCTCCAGGCTGAAGAGGAAATGGACACTCAGACAAGAAATGGCTGACTTCGCCCTTGGGCCTGGGCTACAAGGTCCAGAAGGACCTGGAGGAGAACTTAGCAATGGAGTTCTACCTAGCATGTGGGTAAGCCTGGGTTCTGACCCCAACACACCACCACACACACACACACACACACACACACACACACACACACACACACCTATTACAAGGTGTCCTTCAAGCAGAAGAAAATAGCAGCAGGATGTGAATTTCCACAGGAATGAAGAGCACGGCAAATGCTAAAGTTCAAATGGTAACTTCTTGGAGAAATAAGTATGACATGTTTCATTTTTTAAAAATCTCTTTAAATGACAATCAACTGTTGAAACAATGTAATCTACTGTGGGGTGTACCACCAGGTAAATGTCAAACACATGACAATAAAAATGTAAGCCTCACGTTGGAGGAAATGAGAGCAAGTGGACTGTCATAGAATGATCCGAGACATGGTATCAGAGTCAACATCCTGGTTGTGATAATGTGATAGTTTTGCAGGATGTCACTAGTGGGGAAAATTGTTCAAAGGGTACACACATTATCTCTCACGCCTACATGTGAATCTATAATTGCATCAAAAAAGTTTTAATTACAGTGTTTTAATTAAAAATTCAATATGAACTAAAGGAAAAAAATTCCATGGTGTACAAAATATCTAAGTTTTAAAGATAGAGGTAAAGAGGAGGGAGGAGAGAGAGAGAGAGAGAGAGAGAGAGAGAGAGAGAGAGAATATCCAGGCCCTCCCTTCTGCTGACCACATCTCTTCAATTCTTCCATCCTGGATGCGACTAAAATGACCAGTGACTAAATTTATGCAAAGTTTCCCTCTGTTGGAAAAGGATGCCAGGGAGAGTTAGATTACACATGGTGACATTGGGAAGAGCCCCATCAGCTGGGAGCACTGTCAGCATAGCTTATCCCTGGATCCCAGTTATTTGGGACCTCAGTGCATTTCCCCATAATAATCACACCAGTGGTGTTATTTTTACCTCCATTCTACAGATGAGCAGACAAGGCTCAGAGAGGGCAAGTGTCTTGCCTGAAGTCACACAGCAAGGGGTAGGATTCCAACCCAGATTCCTGAGTCTAGGTTCAGCTCCTTCCATGCACCACCACGGAGCCACTCATTTGCATCTGAGGGCGGAGGTGCTTAGTGTGTGACACTCAAAGGCCAGTCCTGGTCCTGGTGGGATGAGGCTCAGGCTCCACAGGGCTGGGTCCCTCAGCCGTGGAGAAGGAGATTTAATAGGGGAGCTGTTCCCTGTGTGGACAGAACTGAGGGCAGCAGAGCTCTTGGGTGAACGCCCTGGGCTGGCGATGCAGGCAGCAGAGAGCCAGGGTCTATGGGAGGGCTCGTCAGAGAGGAAGTTGGGAAACACATCTTCACCTCCACCTCCCACCCCAATGCCCAGGGGAGGGGGCCAGCTCCCTGCTGGGTCCCAGGCAGAGGGAACAGGCAAGTGGCCCTCCCTGGTCTCCAGTGTCCCCTCTGCTGGATATCTGCACAGGCCTCCCCACTTATCCTGGGCCCCATCCTCCTTGTGGACAGTCTTTATAAAAGGTCAGCTGGGCTGCACTGTCCCCCTCCTGGAGACCCCTGAAGTCACCCACCACTCTTAGCAGGGTGTCCTCAGCTGCACCTGGCAAGACCCGCACCCCCCACGATCCCCACCCCACCCCACCAGCTGCCAACCCGCGCTCCTCCCATGCCCGGGGCGTTGGCACACGATGCTCCACTGTGGGTGCTTCTCGCTCCCCTCCCCCTGGGGTGACTGGCATTTCCTCAGGCCTGACTCAAGGTCACTTCCTGGAAGCCCCTCCCCCAGGCCTGCTTTCTCCTAAACCCTCTCTGCACAGTCCTCTCCCCAGAGTGTCCCGGGGACATCATGGGCAGGAGCTAGATCTGGCCTCAGATGGTGCTGGCCCAGGAGCCAGGAGCAGTGAGAACAGGAGTCAGGGGGGATGGGCATAGAGGGATGG